GAGGTGGGAGGTGGGGAGAAGCAGTGGGAGGTGGGGGTAGGGGGACAGGAGTGGAGCTGGGAGGACTAACACCTGCTCTTCACTGACTGTCCTCAAGGCCCCTACAGCATCCCAGGAGGAAGTTTCCACCACCAACAGGTGAGGCTCTTTAAGATATTTATCAGTGACCTAAGTGATTTGATTCCGATCAAATCTCTTAAGTGACTAGAATCTATGAGTGACAGCCAATACACAGAACAACAGATAATGAAAAAGTGCCAAAGGGCCAGATCTGATGGCCAAGTGCAGCCCATGAAAAAGCTGACCTTCCCCAACACAAACCCCAAGTGGAAAAACTAATGTATATTGGATACTTGCAACATGAAGTTCTCTCAGCTTTTTATTTTCATAACAAACCTACAAAGTAGGTAACTGTTTTCATCTCCATTTTATGGATGAGAAGGTTGAATATTAAAGAGATTAAATTACCTGCTCAAGAAGAATGACTTAAACTCCAGAGACCCCCAACATGCTGTATATAGGTTCCAAGATTCAAACGCACAAACACCAAACGAGAATTTGACCCAATGGCAATATTAAGCAAAAATAGCAGACAATTTCTCCTGCTCCTAAGCTTACCATAAGTCTAGTGGATGGTGAGGTTTTGATAAACAAAGGCTAGTTTCAGAAGCTGTCATGGTTAGTGGGTAAAAAGTTGTGTTGTTAATCCAAAGACAAGCAGTGCACACCCATCAGATGCTCCATGGGAGAATGATGGGCCATCTCCTCTCATGCCCTTTATAGCCTCTGCAAATCTGCTGGAGGGTCAGCTATGAGTCAGTTCCAACTCAACAGCGCATAACAAATGCATTTTCAGCCATCAGAAGGGGTGTCATGAAGAACAGAGGGGTAGTCTGTGTTGTTCCTTGAGTCAGAACTAAGTGGAATGGAAGTTAAAAGTGACTTGGGTTTCCATTTCAAAGGAGGGAACTTTATAAAACCAGAGCTGAACACCCACAGAATGAGCCCTGGAAGGGCTCCAGTGGAGGTGGGGAACCATCTGTCTGGGGGCCCTCATGAAAAGGCCCTTTGCAATCTCTAGAATTAGTAGTTCTTATTTTGTTGTTTTGGATGAGAAGGTCAACTGATTTCAAATGTACTACCCACTCCGAACCTACATGTTCTGATTTTTAATACAGATTAACTTGGCATTCTGAACAAGGAAAGGCCTGGGAGAAAGTGCCACACAGATCTTTCCACACAAGTGGTTCAAAATTAATTTAGACTTCCATTTCGAATGCCTTTTGGAATAAACATTTACTGATGAAGGTAACCAGAAGTATTCAGAAGTCTGGCTTCATGATATGGACTTCCCTCACACACTGACTTCCATTACGCAATCAGTGATTTGTTCCTTTGGCAAATGCATGTCCCTCTATGCACGGTATGGTACCTGTCACTCTCCTAATTAAGCCCTTCTCATCTCTTTTGCATCAGGCTTTGCTGTGACACAGACGGAGGGTGTAAGAGGGTGTCATTCCTCCTTGCAAGGGTCTTGGGAAAAGGAAGGTGAGGCAAGGGGAACTGCCTTCTGGCTTGCCGCAATGGATTCAAGCCAGGAATGGGAGTGGCTGCCTGGTCATCCTTTACGGTCAAGTGTAGGGAAGGCCAGAGTGTGGCAGGCAGGAGTGCTGAGCTCCCTGTCACTAGATTTGTCCATCAGCAGCTCTGAACAGATTTATGAGTCACACAAACTCCAGACTGGGTGACATTTCAGACCCTTTCCAGCCCCAAGATCCATGTTCACACAGTGCCATATGGCACGACACACATTTGAAATGGAATTTGAGCCACTTACACGTCCTCGCTCTGTGAGAGTTGTCAACATGACGATGAGTGATAACTTCTGATCCCAAACTACTTGCCAAAACTGTGCGCAGGTATGTGGCAGGGGTCCCTGAGCAGCGATGTACTTGTTCACAAGGTTAGCAGTAGGAATTTCCATCTGGCAAGAGAGATTGGTAAGGTATTGGAATCGGTTACTACCACAAAGTAGACAAGAAACTGGATTTTAAACTTGTCTACTTAATAGCTGATCTCACACCAGACTAAGATCTCCTTACTTATCAATTTGCAGCATATAAGAAAAACAGAAGAAAAAAAATCTTTAAATTCTTGAAAACTATTTGACAATATTCCAGCAATAGATAATTAAGATAAATTGTGTGATACTCAGCAGGCACTAATCAGAAACATAATTACCAGATGGCAGGAGAGTTTTAGAAGACTTTCACTGCTCTATCTTAAATACAATCTGTCAATATGGGTTATTTTGTATTTTCAGCAATGCATAATAATATCCACTCCAAGTCTTTCCCCATGTAGAATTTTCTATAGAAATCTCTCTAGTGTGAAGCACATAGTATAACACTGCCAATAACTGATCAAAGTTGTTATTTTGTAAGGTTGCTGGCACCGTTAAGCTGATCAATCTCTATGTTATCCCTGTGGTGTCAAGCATCCTCAGCGCCCCCTCCTACTCTGCTCTGCTATTTCCCTTCTGAATCAAATCCTTTCTAGGGACAAAAGCCCAGAACCTGCTGAGCTTTGGGCAGCTACTATAATTTGTTCATTTCTAAGAGAGGGAAGTAGATGGGAGTTTCCCAGTTTATGGTTTGGTTAGTGCTTGGGTTTCTGAGTTCTTCAGTCCTCATCTCAGATCCTGAGGGACAACAGGAAGGGACTGGACTATGTAGTCCTGCATCCTGCACCATCTTGGATGTTACTTTTAAGTCACCAGGAACACCGAGCAGAGGGTCAGTGAAAATCCCACAGACACTGTTGGGGTCCACTGATCAGATCCATTTTTATTAGGGTAGTTCACGATACGCTGTGACCAATTTGAGAAATTAATCTCTTTCTAGATAAGGAGCTGGCAAAATTTAGCCTGAGAAGCAAGCCTGAGTAAGCGGCCACTGAGTCAGAGTGGCTTTTTAACACTTTAGATGGCTGCGTATGAAAAGCCAGTTGCCACTGACTTAATTAAAACTCACGGTGACCCATGTAAGCAAAACTGGGCTCCAAAGGGAGGCTAACAGCTGATTTTTAGAAGCAGATTTCCAGGCCTTTCTTCTGAGGTACTTGAACTTCTGAGGTGGACTTGAACTACCAGCCTTTTCAGTTAACAGCTCAGCACATTTCTACCACACAGGGATTCCTAAATCATTAGTTACATCAGTACCTAATGACATCTTCAATTTTGCCTCTTGGCCTGCAAACACCAAAATATTTACAACCTGGCCTTTTGCAGGACACTGCCAGTCCTGGTTCACACAAAGAAGCCGAAGTTTAGAGAGAGAAAGAAAATGCCATATATGCAAGCATTTACTTTCTCTTTTTGGATTATATACTTCGAGGTTTTATTTTTCTCATTTTATGCAAGATATACAATATCAACCAGGAAAATAACATGCAGTAACCTACAAAAGAACCATCTGAATGTCAACAGTGAGGGCAGAGGGAAGTGCACTGCGGAGCCAGATACACAAAGTCCGAGTATTGATTCCCTCTCCTGTTAGCTCTGTGATTTTCTAAAATTATTTAATCTCTCTGAACTTCAGCCTTCTTCTCTATAAAATGAGGCTACCCTGCTCCATGGTGAGGCTGTGAAAAACAAAAGTATGATGCCAACCCTTAGGTAAGATGCGTGATGTCTGCCATCACCACCCTTGGTACAACAATTGCCACTCTCTTTCTTAACACGTCAGATTCCTAACTTACGTTCACATAGCTTGCATTAATATAATCTTCATTTCCCTGCAGTAATACCCTGGTGGTGTCATCTGTGGGGGAGAGAAAAATTTATCAGTTATTCCTAGCGATAATTTTATCATACCAAGTAAACATGGGTTCCGTTCCCAGCCCCATCTGCAGCGCCTGCCTTATTAGCATAAACACTATTCCCCAACTGTTTCCAGTCTGAAATGGTTGCAATAAAGACTGTGGTGTTTACAGACAGAATGAAGATCGTTCCAGAACACCAGACAATCTGTTTTAAAAAGGGAAACATTATCTCAGTGTTGGAGGAGATGGGGAAATCGGAAACATTTGCGCTGGATACTCACAAGGCAGCACATCTTTGTATCGGTTTTTGTCCAAATTTTGAGGCAGCTTTGCAAATGTGATGGCAAGACCAGGCTTCTTTCTGTAGAGTTGCTACAGAAAAAAGAGAAGTAAAAAAAATGCAGAAAAAGAACTACGGAGGGAGGGTAAAAATGTACTTTACAGAAAAGTTCATTTTAAGATTTAAAAGTTGATTTTTTTTTCTTACCAAAAGGAAATTCTACAGTTACACGGGAAAGAGACCAAATTCTTCAATAATTATATTTTAGCATGAAGATCTTTGAGGGCAGGGAGTCAGAGAAACAGGTCTGAGTCACAAAGGATGGGTCACAGTAAGGAAAGCCTTATATTTTTGACAATTATTGACAAATGCTAAAAGCAAACAGAGGGGAGAGGCAAGTGACTAATTCAAAATTTAGAAATTATCTAAACTAGTTCAAAACCAATTTCCTCAGTTCAATGGTGTGAACCATATTTCTTGCTTAAAAAATATGAGCATTTCATTCACCTTTCAGAAATATGTTTCTTCTGTAAAAAATTATATCCCAGTATGTATTAAGTGTCAATTTAAGGGGTTATTTCCCTATAGCGTGCAATCACTTTCAAAGCGGCCAAATCAAAATAATCTCTGCACATCTACAAGTGCATGTTAGACATGTTTGTACAGCACTGACGAGATTTCACTACAGTCCTGTGAGAAGTTCTAAGTGTATCGTTATTGTTATTTTGCAGGCAAAAGATACCAAACAAGACAACCCGAATCTGACCTCAACCCTCCTGTTTACACTGCTATACAGGGTCTCGCACCTTGAATGGCCCTATTCATGAAAAGCTTTTATTGTGTTATCTCATTGCCATGGAGTTGGAACCCACACACAGCTGAGCTTCCAGTGAGTTTTCAGAAGCTGTAAATCAGGGGAGCTCTCGTGGCCTAGTGGCAAGAAACTGCGCTGCAATCCCAGAGGAACACGGTTCGAATCCACCAGACGCTCTGCCGGAGAAGGAGGCGCAATATCCTCCTGTACCAGTCAGATCTGATTTGACGGTACATGCACACAAAATAATAATAAAAATTAAAAAAGAAAAGAAAATGACTGCGTACTAGAAGAAACAAAAAATTAAAACAAAAAAGAAGCTGTAAATCACATAGGAAGCAGAACGCCCCTCTTTCTTCCTCAGAGTTGCCGGTGGATTTGAACCACCAGAGAGGGGCCATCTTTGGGGTAACAGTGCAACTCCTTCAGGACTACAGGGAATTTGGGGTTCAGTATAATCCTTTCATTGCTGTTGTTAGGTGCCATAGAGTCAAGCATGACTCACAGCAGTCCTATGAATAACAGATTTGAACCCTGTCCTATCCTGTGCCATCCTCACACTTCCCAACACATTAGAGCCCACTGAGGCAGTCACCATGTAAATCCACCTGGTCAACAGTCTTCCTCTCTTTCACTGACCCTCTACCCTTCCAAGCACCTTGTCCCTCTCCAAGGAGTAACCCCTCCTAGAAAAACGCCAAAAGCATGTGAAGTAAAGATTCGCCATTCTTGCCTCCAAAGAGCACTCTGGCTGCAACTTCTCCAAAACACATTTGTTCTTTTGGTCGCCCATGGGATGTTCAGTGCTCTTCTCCAACAACACAACTCAAAGGCATCAATTCTTCTTCTGTCATCCTTATTCACTGTTCAGCTCTCAGATGCATAGCAAGTGATCAGAAAGGCTATAGCCTGAATCAGACATACTTAGACTTTCCCAGTGCAGTATGTCTCCTCATTTCCTGACTGCCGGTACCAAGGACGTTAACTATGAATCCAAGTAAGATGAAATTGTTGACAGTTTCAGTCTCTTCTCCATCCATCATGATGTTGCCTATAGGCCCAGTGGTAGAAATCTTTGTTTCCTTGACACTGAGATGCAATTCATATTGAAGGCTGTACTGCAACAAGTGCTTCAAGTCCTTCTCACTTTCAGCAAGCAAGGTTGTGCCATCTGCATAATGCAGGTTATTGATGAGTCTCCCTCCAATCCTGATGCCACATTCCTCCTCATAGAGTGCAGCCTCTTGAATAATTTGCTCAGCATACAGATTGAATAGGTATGGAGAGAGAGTACAACTCTGACACACTACCATACTCCTGCATTCATTTCAAAAGAAAATATTTGACATTTCCTTCTCTAAAGAGTTTCTGTCTTACCCAGATTTTACTGCATATCCACATGCACTTTTCCCACTCTAGCCAGGATCTCCTATTGTGGTCCCTTTCAGAGGGCAATGGGAGCTGGGCATCATCTGCTTCTTTCGGTCTAAGGCTCAGGTGGCCCATTAGTTTTTTGGACTAACTGTTTCCATGTGTATTTGACTCTCTTTACTCCAGAGGAGCGGTATGGGGGAGGGAGACCAACAGATGCATGCTTACCAAAAACATTCTCTTTATGCACTATGTTTTATCAATTGACTTTGATGTTTCCCCCTCTCCCCCGTCTCAACTATGGTCCTGAGCCATTAATTATTAGGCTGCTTTCAATATTTTGTTCTTACAAATACCAAGATCAGAATTACTGCATCAAAGTATATTTCTAAGACCGTGATACATATCACCAAGCTTCCATAAAGAAAAGTCCTATCCACATGCTGGCAGGGGTGTGTAGGAATAATTACTTTACCAAATTTTGGCCAACTATATTATCTGTGCCATTTGGATATAGAGGCTAGACATTATCTACTCCAAGTGCAGAAATTCTTTACAAATTATACTTCTTTATAAGCTGGTTTCTGTTGAAGATTTCTGGCCATACTAACAGTTTGACATCATGCTCATTTACCAAATGCTTAGAATTTCCAAACTATGGGCACTCAGCTACTACAGATCATCTTTACGATTTTAGTTTGTAAGGATCAAGTAGCCACTAAACAACTTGCTAAATAAATACATGCAGGCTTTAATGGGCTCTCTGCATTCATTCTAGAAACAAATCTGTGATTCACTGGTGATTTTGGTATAACATTGGCAGGAGTAAGTTATCTGAGTCAGTCAAATTTACCTAAATGGCATCTTGGTTCTAATGATTTTAGAACATAGGGCTGAAATCCAATTAAGTGGATGTACTCAGTCAAACTGATCTGGATGTAAAAAGAGATTTTCTTTGTCCAAACTATAAAAAAAAGGTAAATGTAATCAACTTGAGATGACCAAGCAGAAAAACTCAGACTTAGCTTTAATTGGATTTAAATAGGATTTAAAATCTATCTTGATTCCATTAAAATAACAATAAAGTAAAAAATGCATCTTGGCAATGATGATTTGTTGACAGGAAAGCGCTAAAATAAATTCTTCCTTTAAAAGAAAATACTATGGCAGTGTTTTAAACACTTTAAATGGACATACTTTGGGCAGAAATACATAAAGATGTATGCCAAAGAAATTTGTTGGGGTTTTTTTTTTAACTAGTGAAAAATTGTAAATAATGTTAACATTTCTAAAGAAGAAGAAATACTGATTTAAATTATTGCAGTCATTCTGCAAAAATTCTGTGCAAGTAATTAAAACAGAATAACACAGACCATAAGTTTAGACTTGAAAGAATGTCCAGTTGTCTATTTTTAAGTGAAAAACATAAGTTACTAATACATACCATGGTAATTCCATATATTCAAACACATGTCATGAGTGAGTACACACAAGTACCTTTATGTACATGTATAAAATATATCTGCATGATCAACAGTGTAAGTATGGAATGATATAATCCCAATGCCATTTACAAATTATAGTAGAGAGCAGGGAAGTAAAAAGGTAAAAGTCTGGACAAAATTATGCTCTGGCCTTTTGTAATTATCTTAAGACTGAAAATGAACATTTCTTTATAAAATTAAAATATTAGCTGGGGTGAGGATGGTGGGCTGATCTACATTGCAGCATCAGGCCAGTAGCTGGATGGTATTTGAAAATGGTATTACAATGCTGCAGGATTCAATAAACTCAGATTATTGTGAGATGATAAATACATGAGGATGTAAAAGAAGCCATAAGAAGGCTTCCTGAGCACCTTTATAATGACCTGGACCTGACCATGAGACAACAGATCTTGCCCAAAGAACAGTGGACAAAATATGAGGAAGATAAAGTCCACCTTGAACCATGTCTCAAAGAGGGAGTGGGCGAAGAAATAATCATGTAATTGAAATCTGTGGATGCACCTGTCGTCAAAGTATTTTTATGATGTTGGTTAAAAGTGAAATATATAATTTAAGAACTATTAGGGCTGCCATGTCTATTACTTTAAGTAAGTATCTATTATAATCCTAAAAAATACTAAAATATTAAGAAGAGCCACAACAAAGGAAATCTACTTATACAGTTTTTTAGAAAATATATCAGAGCTGCACAAATCACAGCTGGGCTTTCTTTTTTTGTATTTGTCTACTCAGATTTATGTATGGTTTGCAAAAAACCAATGGATGAATCTCATTTCCCCTGGATTACTGTAGTCCAATTCCACCTTACTGGTTCTCTGACTAGGTAAACAGTCAAATGAGGATGTCACAGTGACAGGCAATGTTTGTCTGTTGTATACAGAGCCACCAGGACTCAGAACTGACTTGATGGTACCTAACTACAACATAAAGCTTCCTTATCATCCTATTGAAGAAGTTCTGGAATGGAAGGTAACTGACAAAAATAACAGCTGAGAGTGGTTGCTAAGGAACAGATGTATTTCAATTACAGCATCAGTATCACTAACTCTGGCCTCCAAAGAAAAAAAATTAAATAGTAGGAGCTGGATTACTCTAATACAGTATGGTGGGATTGGTAAATAGAGACAGTATTCCAGATTGAAAGTTTCTTATTATTAAAATAAAGCATCTATTACTAGAGGGAGTTTGGAGCCTTAGTGGGCAAGAAGTTGAGCTATCAACCCAGAGGCTGGTGGTTCAAATCCAACAGCTTCTCTGAGGGAGAAGATGGACAATCCCCTCCCATGTGATTTATAGTGTCTAAAAACCCACAGGACAGTCAGCTATGAGTCAGTTCCGACTTGATAGCAAAGAGTGGGTGTGAGTGAGTACGAGTACACCTGGAGTCCCAAAAATGCAA